AGGCAATTCAGGTGTAGATCAAGTTCAGGCCAGTGCTGGAGCTGGCAAGTCAAGCAGCACCAGCGAGGTCATTCAGGCGGCACAGAGCAGCTAACGTCGCATGATTCGGAATCAATTCAGGCTGCTGCGAAAAATGAAAGGATATGACATGACTGCCTAGCATAGCATTTCCAAGACTACAAGACACCTGCATGGCGAGAGATAAAAAGGCAGGGCGTGAGCGGAAGTGATGGGTAGTTGTAGCGTGACGCATGCAGATGTGCACACTCACCCTTTGTCGAAGGGACGTCGTCCAGTCCTGTCCGGGAAACGGCCTCCTTGATGGCCAATGCCAGAGCTTTGAAAGCGCTCTCGGATCTGTGATGGTCATTGTCGCCTCTTAGACAGTCCACGTGGAGCGTGACGCCGGCTGCCATGGCAAAGCTGTGAAAGACGTGAGGAATCATTTCGCAGCTCAAATCTCCAATCTTTTCCCTCTTGAGACCCAAGTCGGCCACGCAGAATGGTCGAGAGGAGATGTCGATCACCGCGCGTGAGAGCGCTTCGTCCAAAGGGGCGTGACCAGTGCCGTACCGCTTGATACCCTTCACTGGGCCCAAGGCGGCTTTGAAGGCTTCGCCGAGAGCTAGTGCGCAATCCTCTGCAGTGTGGTGATCATCGATCCATAGATCTCCATCACAGACGATGCTTAGCGACATTCCGCCGTGTTTGGCCAGGGCATGGAGCATCTGGTAGTCCATATTCAGTACGGCAGGTCAAAGAGGGGGGCCAAGAGAGGGATGGACATCAGCTTGGAGAACAGCCGAGAAGAGATGACATGCACCACTGCAACAGCGAAAGCGGCAAGGTCAAGTGATTGCACGCACTCACGTGGTCCAAAAATCCGATGCCAGTCTTGACACTGATGGTCTGCGGTGCAGCTTGAGGATGCACATCCAGGCTCAAAGTGCACTTGATCTTCGTCTCGTTGGTGATGCGCTCCACAGATGCCGTTCGCACGGGCAATGTGCCAGCGCCGATCGCAGTCGCAGCCATGAGGAAGAAGAGGCAGACGTTGGAGGGCTGAGCGGAACAATCTGTAAATCTGAACCAAGAATGCGGCGATGAAGAGTACCGGCGAGGGAAGGGATGAATGAAAGCGGTCGGGATGGTGGATGCGTCTCAAACGGTTGTGTGAGGTGGGATGAGTAATTCGTGATTGTGAACGTTAACAGTTCATTCGTAACATCAAGAAAGAATCCATGCAGCAACGCGCGACTCGAAACGAGCGTTCGAAGCTGTAATACTAATGATGATCACAGTGATGGTGATAACGATCATGATAATCTTCGATGATATTCCTAATTGAAATGATAATGATGCTAGTCATGGCAATGACAATCAAGAATCTTGAATAGTATTCTTGATTTAATGCGCCGGCCCGGAAGGATCAGAACCTTGGGTCAAGCGGCAGGCGCGGGCTCGATCACGTGGGTAACGCAATCACGAGTCTTGACTCGAGTGTCGGTTGCGGTTGCGAGTCAAAGTTGCTGCCAAAATTTGCACGCTGCGCCACGCAGCGCGAGCGGTCGAAGTTTAAGAAGCCAAGCCTGGCAGAGCAGTAACTTTGCTTAGTCTCTTCGAACAAAAATCCACGAAGGTGAGTGGATCGCAAGGTGTCCTTGGGCGAGACGCGGCACCACGCGTGTTTGGGTAGGCAGTCTGGGTCCACAGCGCCATTTCGACTGCTATCAGCTGACCAGATCTCTCGCTCTCCTCTCCTCTCCTCTCCTCTGCTCGTTCCAAAGACACAAAAGTTCGAGCTTGGCGGCGCTCCCATTGAGGATGACGCGAGTGCCTTGTTCGCGTTCCCGTCTTCAAGAGCAAAGTCTCTTTCATTCGAGAGAGAGAACTTGGCGTTGGGTCCCTCGTGGTCCAACGTAGTGGCCCTTGCGCTTGCACTGAGCTCGTCATCCACGCTTCAACTCGCTGCGATTACCGCTGTGCAAAACGAGACCGCCTTTTCTTGGCAAGAGATGTGAGCGCGCATGTTCCTTGGGACATGCTTGCGCTCCGTCCATGACCGGCCA